CACAGCAATAACATGTAAAGTACATAAAATGAATGCTGGACTCATGAAACATGTTTATAGCGATGCACTTGAAGTACTTAAAAAGATGAATTAGACAGTTGATAAATTTGATGGATTTATGTAGGTGCTTTACATTTTAATTTTAAATATGTGTCCCTGCAGCACAAAAGCAGTGTTAAGTCGCTGGGGGATATTTGTAGCAATAGCCAACAATACATTGTATGGGTCACAATTATACATTTCTCTTTTATGCCAAAAATCATTAGGATATTAAGTAAAGATCATGTTCCCATGATGATATTTAGTAAATCTCCTACCGTAAATATATCAAAACTTACATTTTGATTAGTAATATGCATTGCTAAGAACTTAATTTGAACAACTTTAAAGATGATTTTCTCAATATTTAGATTTTTTTGCACCCTCAGATTCCATATTTTCAAATATTGTCCTCTCCTAACAAACCATACATCTATCGAAAGCTTATTTATTGAGCTTGATTTATATATCTCAATTTACCCTTATGACTGTTTTAGTGCTCCAGTGTAACATATGTGCCCTGTTGTCCAAAGACAAATTGACAGCACAAAGTATAACCTTTAAATTGTTTATGTACGGTTCAAGGGCTTTGGCAGTCTAACCAAATAAAACATGACGACCATAGACACTTATTGTCTTCAAAGTATGTCTTTCACAGATCTTTACACATTGTATGTTTTACTCCTTTAGCCTGGAGAAAGAGGATCTCCAGAGCAGGAACGAGAGACTGAACGGGAGAGAGAATCGGTTCCCTTCAGCCGCCACCTTCAGGCACATCATCTCACTCACCTGGGCATGAGCTACACGCTGGTGTCCGGCCAATATGACCCCTTTCAAGGTGAAAAGGTCAAAAACAACTGTACTATACTACACTACTGAACTCTGTATTAAAGAGCTCATATCATGAGGAATCAAACTGATCTTGTAAAACAAGAGTTTGTTGTACTATTAAAACATACTGTAACATTCAGACCTCAGGGGTTCCTCTCCAGTCCATGAAGAACAGCTCTAGAAACTAATCTGCACAACTGTCTCATTCTGAACTTCTGTAACTTTCTGACACATGAATGTAAAAAGGTGCATGAGCTGCAAGTGTTTTTGCCATGTCACATACCTTAGAGGACATGTACATATCAGGCTTCTGCCAAATGCACACTGCACAACTCAAGCTTTTTGACTCATGAACCACAAACCCTCTGTCATTATTGTCAAGAATCAACTCACCCATTGCTGTTTGTGTGAAAATACGTTATAATTTCAGAAAACACATGCGTGCGCTTGGCTTTAAAGGCACAGCAGCAAAAATTGCCCATTTAATTCTTCTAAGTGCAATAGAGAGTGGAAATGCTCATGAAAAACTATTCTATGAATGGTTTTGGGTGCAAGTGGACCTCAAGGGAACAAAATTGCACGATAAAAACTATATGAGCCCTTTAAGTGTGTTTACAGTGACGTATGGCTATGGTAAGAATTGATTGTAATGTTCTGTGCTCTGTGATCCTTCAGGTTTGAGCTCTGCAGCACTGGTTGCAAGCCAGCAAGTGTCTACGACACAGACCTGCTCCAGCGGTGAGAAAACAAATGCAATTACCTCTGCAAAAAAATAAAATCAATTCCTGTGGCTCAAACAGCAGATCGTGGCACTAGGTCACGGGTTCGATTCCCAGGGAATGCATCAGGGTTGCCAAATCCGTGGTTTAACCACAGATTTGGGCTACTTTTACACTGTTGCCGTGGGTTGGTTTTAAAGTGCGTGGGTTTAAGTACACCCCCGACAGAAGGGAAAACCACAGAAAAAACGCGGTTGGGCTAGTTTTGAATAATAATTGGTCTGGTTTTGTTTCGCAGACCTGGCAACCCTGGAATGCATGTAATGGACACCTTGGGCCCTATTTTATTGATCTAAGCGCATGGTCTAAAGCGCACGGCACAGGTGCACTCAGGGCGTGTCCGAATCCACTTATGCTAGTTTACCGACAGGAAAAATGGTTGGCGCGCCCGGGCGCATGGTCTAAACGGATTGTCCCTATTCTCTTAATGAGTAATGGGTGTTTTTTGGGCAACACGTGCAATAAACCAATCAGAATCTCCCATCCCCTTTAATAGCCAGTTGCGCTCACGCCATGGCGGAATGTAATTTTTCATATTTAAAAATGTGTTGTGCGCGTCCCTGTGTGTGTAATAAGCAAAGTGTATGCACGTTGTGCACCCACCAATAGGCGCATATTACTAACGCGCTCTTTAAATAACAAAGAAAAAATATTGCACCAGACTTTAGACCAGGTTTGAGTTGAGTTCAGTTCCTCAAAATAACAATGCGTCAACAATGCGCCTGAACACACCTCTTTTTTTAGACCAGCACGCCCATGGGCGCACAAATGGGCGCAAATGCATTTGCCATTTAAACAACGCGAAGGGTTGAAACTAGCACTTGCGCCGGGTGTATGATAGGGCCCCTTGAATGCAATGCAAGTCGCTTTGGATAAAGGCATCTAACAAATGCTTAACTAAATTGATTGATTGAATTAAAGCAGTTGAACATTGTTACAGTTTAGAGTTTTGTGGTCTTTAATAATGTTCTCAAAGCATTGTTTATAAATTTTTTTCTGAAACATTGTAGTTGGATGCTCGTCTAACATTTTTAAAATGTCTCTACTTGTTTCAGAGAACATTCAAAAGTAGCGTTGAAGTGAAATGTTCCTATAACGTTTCATTGTATAATTGGAACACATTCATAGATAACGTTTTCACAACTCACCAGGAACGTTAGCAGATCTTTCTTAGAACATATTTTTATTAGCCTATTGTCTGTTTGATCTGCAGAAAACGACGGGAAGATGTGAGACGCAAGGATTCACAGACATCAATTCCATGGTGTTACTCATCGCCTCCATTGGAGGCAGTGGCTGATTTCATTTCTAACCAATGAATGTACTAATGGAGGGCTGCAGTGGAACTAGACATGGCTACACGGGCCTGAAAAACATGTCCTTCAGATGCCCGTCACACACAAACCCTCTGGTCGTTGGATTTTGCCTGTAAATGGCTACATCTAGCTGTTTGTATGCACTTATATTGTTGTGTAACCATACTATTGAATGTATTCGCTATTGTGGTAAAGGACGGGTTGCAAAAGATTCTAAGTGACGTTAAGGTGGCTCGCTCCGCATTGACTTATTAACATGAATATACTGTTATAAACAGCCATTAATCTATTGTATCGTATAAAGTGGATGTCACCCGACAGTTAATCTCAGTGCCATACAGTATTATCGTGATGTATATAGTTGTACATAGTTGAACGAAGCTCAACAGCGACTATAACTAGCTTATGTACCTTTGTATTGATTCAGTGCAATGTATGGTTGTCTACCCACCTCAGCGACACGGCAGACGTAGTCCTTCAATAGTAATGCATAAATAAATATGTTTACAAGTGGTTTTCTGGACAGAAAGTCAATGGTGTAGGTTGGTTGCGTCCCGTCATTAGGTTTTTCTTGATGTCTGCTGCAGTTGCTTTTTATACGGTCTCTGCCTTAACATGTTTGGCAATCCAAATAAAAAGTCAAGGTTGTTTCTACATGCCGATTGTTGTTTGTGCATGGAAAACCATTTGAGTGTGAGGTTATAATAACTTTAATTAATAAACAATGATACGCGGTAGTATACTAATATAAGTGTCGAGGCAATAAAAACACGGTTTGCACCCAAATTACAAACGTAACTAACCACGCTTTACACAAACTGTGTTACGGCAGCTAAAAGTGCAATGCTCAGAAAGGTACTCAATGATCAGTAAACATTTATAAATCGTTACAATTGATGAGTAGTCTCAGCTTTAGTTTGGGACTACTGCAGTATTTGTTACGATGTGAAAGTCGTAGAAGTCTACAACAAACGAAGACCAAGTATATGATCTTTACAGACTGTGAGTTAATGGATAATACAGTCTGTGAAGTGCTTAAAACGACTAATTAAGCTATTTGTGCACAACATTTGTAAATGTAAACAAGAGCATTGCGTAATTTTAACGGCATTCAAAAGTACATCAACAAATACAATTATAAAACAAAAAAAAAGTAAGTGCCAAAGACATTTGTAAGCAATTCAATTTACATTAAATAATAATCTGTCAATCATTAGGTAATGCTTAATAAGTACATTAAGCGATGTGAATGTATATTAACTAATGATCTGTGTTAATGATTTATTAATTAAAATTATTATAAGTGTTACCGGTTCTGGAACAAAGTTACGTTCTTCATGTAACATTAAATAGAACATTCGTTCACTTATTGTCACTAATGTTCACAAAACATTCTCGTCTAACATTTTTTTAAATGTTACAACTTGTTCGGAGAAACATTCGAAAGTAACGTTCCCCTAACGTCTGGAAATGATACAATGGAACGTTCCTTTAACGTTCGCGCAACCGAGAAGAAAGAAAAACGGGCGAAATTTTTCAGAAAACATTTAAAAATAAGGTTTTCATGAGGGAACGTTTGCTTAAAAACGTGTTTTTGTTCAATCGTACGCGATCTGCTTGGACAGCGACCATCTTTCTGTCGCGTTGTTGTATTGTGAAAACTATAAATATAGTACTTTATAAATAAACGAGTGAATATGTGGTACTGAATGATTTCCAGATACATAACACATGCTATTTACTTAGCACTAGAATATATTTCAGAGAATACCGTTATTTTTTTTTGTTCGCGGTACGTTACTTTGACGGTTACCATAGTAACGAGCGATTAAAACCGCTGAATATGACAAAAGTACAAGCATTAAGCCAACGTATATATAATTGATATGTAGTATATGTCACTTAAAACATTCTGCGACTTACCTCATCTATTTATTTTCCGTAAAAAGACTAGATTTGGAGCTTGTACCGCGCTCATCCGTCCTGCAGGGGGAGCGCTCCTCACTCGCTCACACACACACACACGCCGCTGTTTCCGGCGGAAGTGCCGCAGGCTGACGGTTAACTGTCGCTGTTCGAGCACAACAACAACAGCAACAACAGACGCGCTGAAGACGACCAGCAGCTCAAGCTCGTCCTGAGAGCATCATGAGTGTGTAGAGAACATGGCTTCTAAACCAGAGCAGCTGCTGATTGTGGTGTCAGTTCTCGAAGGTAACGGAGAGATGTATTTGTGTGTGGCTAGTTTGCAGTAAAATCTAAGCGAATGCAGTGCTATCCTGAGAATTAATGATTGTGTCGTAGTAGTCACCAGTTGTTTTCGAGGCTCGACACGCTTATTAATCACACTTTAATATGTGTTTGTATGTCAGTAGTGAGAGTTCCGAAAAGTAACGTTACCATAGTAACGTAATGGTTTCTGAAGATCACGTGACGCTGAAGACTGCAGTAATGATGCTGAAAATACAGCTTTGATCGCAGAAATAAATTAGAGTTTAATAGATATTCACTTAGAAGACAGCTGTTTGAAGTTGTAATAATATTTCACATTTTTAATGTTTTTATTGTATTTTTTATCAAATAAATGCAGCCGTTAGCAGAAGAAACGCCTTTAAAAGCCATGAGAAACTTTTCACGGCTAGTGTATATTTTTTGTTTTCTTGTATATTTCTCTCATTATAATCACTGCAGCTCAAGGTTTATGGCTCTTTTACAGTATATACTGTTGTTCAAAAGTTTGGGGTCAGTAAGATTTGTCTCTACTTTGCATTTATTTGACCAAAAATACAACAAAATCAGTAAAATAGTGAAATATTATTAGAATGTAAAACAGCAGTTTTCTGCATATTATACTGATTTCTGAAGATCATGTGACACTGAAGACTGGAGGAATGATGCTGAAAATACAGCTGCACATCACAGAAATACATTACAGTTTAACACATATTCACATAGAAAAACATTATTTTAAATTGCAATAATATTTCAAATTTTTACAGTTTTTTTCTGTATTTTTGGTCAAATAAATGCAGCCGTTAGCAGAAGAAACGCCTTTAAAAGCCATGAGAAACTTTTCACGGCTAGTGTATATTTTTTGTTTTCTTGTATATTTCTCTCATTATAATCACTGCAGCTCAAGGTTTATGGCTCTTTTACAGTATATACTGTTGTTCAAAAGTTTGGGGTCAGTAAGATTTGTCTCTACTTTGCATTTATTTGACCAAAAATACAACAAAATCAGTAAAATAGTGAAATATTATTAGAATGTAAAACAGCTGTTTTCTATGTGAATCTCTGTTAAACTGTAATGTATTTCTGTGATGTGCAGCTGTATTTTCAGCATCATTCCTCCAGTCTTCAGTGTCACATGATCTTCAGAAATCAGTATAATATGCTGCTTTATTATCACTTTTTTTCTTTTTATTTTGGAACCTGTGATACTTTTTTCAAGATACTTTGATGAATAAAAAGTTAAAAACAACACCATTTATTTAAAATAGAAATATTTTCTAACGATATAAGTCTTTTTTTTAATCAATTTAACACGTCCTTGCTGAATAAAAACATTCATTTCTTAAAAAAATTTTAAAAAGAGAGAGAGCGACAAAAAAAAAGACTGACCCCAAACTTTTGAACAGTAGTGTATATTGTTAAAAATATTTCTATTTTGAATAAATGCTGTTGTTTTTACCTTTATTCATCAAAGAATCCTGAAAAAGTATCACTGGTTCCAAAAAACATATCTATTTCTAACACTGATAATAAAGCAGCATATTATACTGATTTCTGAAGATCATGTGACACTGAAGACTGGAGTAATGATGCTGAAAATACAGCTGCGCATCACAGAAATACATTACAGTTTAACACATATTCACACAGAAAACAGCTGTTTTAGATTCTAATAATATTTCAAATTTTTACAGTTTTTTTCTGTATTTTTGGTCAAATAAATGCAAAGTAGAGACTTCTTTAAAACACATTACAAATCTTACTGACCCCAAACTTTTGAGCAGCAGTGTAGCAGCACGACTGATCTGTGTTCTCTTCATCAGGCCGTCAGTTCCCCAGGAGTCCGCGGCACACGCTGGTAGTCGAGGCTCGCTTTGACGGAGAGCCGTTGGCCACAGACCCCGTCGAACACAAAGAGCAGCCGCAGTTCTGCACTGAGCTGGCCTGGGAGCTCGACCGCAAGACGCTGCATCAGCACCGGTGAGTTCTGCTCGTCACGTGATGCTCATCCGTCAGCGCCTCTCTCTCACCCAGCGTCGTCTGCTCCTCCCACAGACTCCAGAGGACACCCATCAAACTACAGTGCTACGCCGTCGACTCCGGCACGTCTGCGAGGGAGTGTGTGGGATACATCGTCCTCGATCTCAGATCACTGCAAGAGATCAAGCAGGTCAGGAAGTCTCTTCTGCTCAGCAGGGATGCATTTATTTAATCATAAATACTGTAAAAATGTGAAATATTATTAGAATGTAAAACAGCTGCTTTCTATGTGAATATGTTATTTCTGTGATCAAAGCTGTATTTTCAGCATCATTCCTCCAGTCTTCAGTGTCACGTGATCTTCAGAAAGCAGTGTTGAGTCGCTGGGGGATATTTGTAGCAATAGCCAACAATACATTGTATGGGTCACAATTATACATTTCTCTTTTATGCCAAAAATCATTAGGATATTAAGTAAAGATCATGTTCCATGAAGATATTTTGTAAATGTCCTACTGTAAATATATCAAAACTTAATTTTTGATTAGTAATATGCATTGCTAAGAACTTCATTTGAACAACTTTAAAGATGATTTTCTCAATATTTAGATTTTTTTGCACCCTCAGATTCCAGATTTTCAAATATTGTCCGATCCTAACAAACCATACA